CTCGCCAAGGTGTAGGTTGCAAGCGGGGTTGCCCACATGTGCCGGCAAACTGCAGCCCAGTTTCGCTGTGGCTTGGTAGGTGGAAAAGTCTAGGCCTGGGCCAAAAACAAAGCGTGCAAGAAGGCGTGCTTTACAATCTGGGCCCACATTTGATTCCTGACCTAATTCGACCCCACCTCTGAAGATGGATAGTGATTCGGGTACATACGTCTACAGGACCTAAGGGTCCGAGCGTAGTCATTTTGAATCTCTACATATAGGTTGAAAAACCTTGACATGATCCTTACCCCCAAGCACTCCACCCCGCCCAAGCCCCTGACCTATTAGCCCCTATTCCCCAATCCCCTAGACCCTATAAACCTTAAAGACCTGAAACAAAAAAAACTGAATACCCTAGACCCTAAACCCTAGATACCCTAAACCCTGACCCTAAATACCCTAAACCCTAAACCCTAACCCAACTCTACAAGCCATGCCCAGATGCAAACTGTGGCTGCTGCCTCGGCAGCCCTCCGCAGTGCTGGGCGCCGCCAGGACCTGGGTGCAGTGAGAGTGCCCTTCAGTCCCTAAGGGTCCAAGTACCCAATAATCATGTACTTACCCAAAACCTGTACTAGAATTACTATTATCCTAAGCCCAAGTATCTAATTATTGGGTACTTGGACCGTTAGGGAGCGCGTTATCCTTGGATTGCAGGGTTTGTGGTGTAATGGTAACAATAGTAAAAGTAGTAGCGATAGTCATGGTAATGGTCGTAGTAAGTGTCGTCATATTAATAGCAATCATAACAACAATGAAAAAAAGAAGGTCTGGGAGCTTTGACTGGGTTTAATGATGCACCCCCTGCAACTGCGTACAACAGGCTCCTCCACAACCCCCCCAACAAATTTTATAGGGTTGGTCAGTTTCAGTTTTAGTAGTATAAGCTGTTGAGCCTTAACACCTTCAAACCGTTCCTCGTCCTAAACCTCAGAACTAATTTTGATGCCTCATAACTCATAATCCGTAAGCTCATAATCCTAAATTACGGATGTTGGCCCAAAAGCCTGACTGAAGAGGCCCCCAGCAAAACAACGTGCAGATCCTGAACTAGCAAACAAACATGACAGTATGGAGGGTACCCATGCAAAATGGCATCCCTCTGATGGTTTTCCAAAATGGGGGGGGGGCCAATATATCGACCTTTAATCCTTGTTATGGGGACCCCTAAAAAGGTACCTCATTTTTTTGGGAAGCCTTAAACCCTGAACCTCAAATTGTAGTTTCCATTTTCTTTTCCATTATCTCTACATTTAATATAATCCCTACCCTGAACCCTACATAGTAGCTTCCACCTTCTTTTCCATGATATCCCCTGTGTGCCCTTATGTTACCCCCCATATAACCGTAAATAATCCCCTATGTCAAGGACCTCCCCCCTTCGGTATTCCGAGGTTGGAACTGTTTTGTTAGATTGCAGAAATTCTGAAGTAGGATTCAAGGGTTTGGGGTTTCGGGTTTAGGGGTTTAGGGGTTACAAGGCTTTCAAACAGCCTGAAGACGCTGACAGGATTCAAGCCAAGCCCTGAATCCGAAACCCGGAGCCCTTTAGACTTAGTGGGGAATAAGGGAATAGATTATTCTTATAGAACTTGTTCCCTTATTCCGTACTAATAAAGCCCCATAGGATATATTCCCTTCTTCACTACGAACCCCCGTATAATCCCTATAGAATATAGTGCCTTATTCCCTACTAACCCTCATACAACCCTTCTTCCCTACTAACCCCCATATAACCCCTAAAGAATATATACCCTTCTGCTCCAACAACCCACACCTGATGCCAGGACCGGGCCTCTGGCGCATGGACTGGGCGCGCAGTGGAGGTTCCGGCCATGGAGGTCAGCCCGGCAGACCATGCGCTGGTGTACGATTTGGGTTGCGTAGGGTTATGTTAGGGTTATATAGGGTTATATAGGGTTATACAGGGTTATACAGGGTTATGTTAGGTTTGTATAAGGTTATGTTAGGGTTATATAGGGATATATAGGTGTTATTTAGGGATAATGGAACAAAAGCTGGAAACTACTATGATGGAGACTTAATTGGAAAATGACATGAAACTGCTGTTTGAGGTTTGAGGTTTAGGATTTGGGGATATTACCCTCAATAATGGAGAATCGCATGCGAAAAACATGGAAATTAAATGGAAACTGGGATCATCAGGGATGATCGTGATTGAAAAGTGGTTCCTGTGTTCTTTGTCTGGCTGTAGGGCGTTGAAGCCCTGACATTCTTAGGGATGTAGTTGAGCAGTTTTACTTGTACTGGGTATTCGGTTTTACTGAGCCATTTTAACCATACAGGCAACTACAGTACAGTACGAGTGTCGCTCTTATTACGACCAACATGACATCGCGTGCCAGCCCTGCGAGAAGTAGAGTTATCAGCAACACCGGAGATATTAGTCGTAGCAGCTGCCATGATAAAAGTAGCAGCTTTGGTAGCGGTAGTGGCCACAATGGTAGATACACCTACACCTATTCTGAAAAGACAGACATGACTTATATTACTCTTTGGATCTCGTTAGTATTCTAATACAAGGCATCTTGGTCAGATTCAAAATTGTCATACAATGGACTCAGAAAGAAGATTGTTAATTCTTCTTGACAAGCTCATTTCTCACATGCCTGGAATTGTTGTGAGATGCGGAGCTTGGGTCATACCTTTGACAGGCTGCTCACACCCATCAAGTCATGTGTGTGCTCCCAAAGCAAGCAAGCCCTTGGGATCCAAATAGCCCAATGTAGCTAATATTTACAGACTTTAGGGTTCAAAGTAGGTAGTATTTCTACATGTGGATCTCCAGGGGAAGTGCTAGACACCCTTGAGATGCAGCTTCCTCAGCCCACTTGCGATTGTATCCCTGATACCGTATATTTGGTATGTTCTACATGTGGGTCAGTTCTGCAAGCACCCCAATGTTAACAACGAGAAGTTTCCAGTTTCAAGACATACACAGTGCCCTGCGTAATCCTGTATCATGCTTTGAATACCGGGCGATCATGCCCCGCAATCACCTAGGAGCTAGATGTGTACCCAGTGGTGGAGCTGGAACTTTCAGACCGCCTGGTGATATCAAAGCCGGTGGATTGGGAAGTCTACGATGGAAGCACTGGGTTGCTCGGAGAAAACCCTGGAACCAACACAGATAAAGGGTTTTTGTTTGCGCGGAACAGTTTTTGGGCATATTTTTCCCAGAAAGACCTTCATGATTTGGGACTGCGGTGCGAATCCCGAGGCCCTGTGCAATTATACTGTCTCAAAGAAGGCGTTGATTTCTCAAAAAAGAAATCTTGCACCCCAAAGTTCAAAGTCCTGCCATGTGCTTTCCCATTTTCCGCCAATTGACTCCAGTCCCATATTGCTTTGGTACTTCTGGGGTTCCCTGGGACGAGCCCCACCAAATACAACTCTGCGAGCTACAGGCTCAGCCCTGTACTCTGCTGCGTACCTCGAAGCTCAGTACAGCTTGTTTGGAAACCGCATGCATATATATATATATACGAATAGATGTATACATAATACATAGACGTACTGGTGCACGCACGAGAGGGGGAGGAAGGGGAGGGAGGGAGGGAGGGAGGGAGGGAGGGGAGGGAGGGAGGGAGGGGAGGAAGGGAGGGGAGGGAGAAGCATGGGAGGCAGAGAGATCAGGAAGAAAAGGATATGCATAGTGTATTATGTTGAGGACATACTCTACGCCAAGTGCTGTAAAGCTGTTATGCTCAGGCACCAGCTATCTGATTTCTTGCAGCAGTCCCTGGGCTACGCAGCGCCCATCCTGTCTGATGCGACCTTCGGCTGCGGCACCTGGGTCTCTATTTTCAAGAGGAGCCAGGAAACATGTTTTGGGATCACTGGGAGAGGCTATGGAGTATCGTATAGGTTTGTCTGGGGCTTGTGCAGCGATCCCGGGTGAGCCTTGAATCTCTACTGCAATGCACAGGAACTTTTTGGGCCTGGGATACCAGGAACAACTTCAGACCCTAATCTTCTTTGGGACCCTATACAACTGGTGGTTTGATGGGGCTAGTCAGCTAGTCTGATCTATACCACTGTTGTCCCACTCTCACTATACTCTGTGAGTCTGGTTGTTGTTTTCTTTGCTGCGGCCAAATGCAGTGTTGTTCCTTGTGCTGCACGCTGACACATGTGTGTATGCCAAACCGATGTTTTTCCGCGTCAAAGGGCCTTTTGCACACAGCTGCCGGTTTTTTGCACCCCGCAAAGGGGGACGATGGCTTACCCCACCTTGTAATTAGATATACACCGACAATGAAAGGCTTAGCTGTCAGGCTGTCTGGGGACTTTGCAAGGGAATGACACAGGTACAGGTGTCGTGTGACATTTGGATCACCAGTTACAGAGAGATCGAATATCTGCTCAGGCTTCCCCTTCTGGGCTTGACGTTAGCGTGTGGTGGAGTTCTGGTCATAGCTCCAGTGAAAGCTGAGGCTTCCTTCACCGTCTGGATGTGCCAAGCTCTGGGCTTCTGCTGCTGGCAGGGTGCCAAGATGGACAGTGGTACCTCAGGACACAATCCCTACATAAGCTTCTGCACATAGGAGGGTCCTATCTCTTGCACGGTCTGTTGGTCATGTTTGTAGATTGGATGGAAGCAGCCAGCAACCCACCATGCATTCCCAATGTGCTGGACAGTTGGCTCTGATCTTAGGCCCAGAGGCTAGCCTATCCCTCCAAGGACCTAGGGTTTCCATTTTCTTTTCCATTTTCCCTATAACCCCAAAATTATACCCCCTATAATCCCTATATAAAGCCTATATAGTCCCTATAGTTTCCATTTTCTTTTCCATTATCCCAATAAAACCCCAATATAACCCCCCAATATTAATCCCATATCCCTAAATATATTCTATGGTAACTTCCATTTTCTTTTCCATTATCCCTATAGAACCCCAGTATAACCTGCACCTGGTCTTGGTGGCCGCCATGGCAAGGCCAAGGGCTATGAGGCCTTTCTGGACCTCTCGGTGCAGCTCTCCTCCAACAGACTCTTGGCTACAATATAGTATATTCTAGTATAATATATTATAATATGTTATAAACACTATGATATTTTATAATATCGTATAATAGAGTATGTTATATTATTACATACAATAAATACTATGTGATTTTTCAATATATTGTAACATACTATATGATAGTACAATGTATTATATTATAATATAAGATAGTATAACAGTTACTGTACTATACTTTATTATATCATAATATAGTATAATGTTGCACGCACTTTAGTGAAGAGGCCCTGTTTAATGTGTTTCGGCCGCTGCTTATTCAGGATCTGGCCATTGTTGGGAAGGTCCTGTTTAATGTGTTTTGTTTCTGGGGCCCTAAAATTACGGGACCGAATCCAGACCATCCATCTTAAAGTAATCTCCAAGGCCTCCCGGGGCCCTCAGTACCGTGGGGTCCTTATTCAGGATGTCTATTTTCTATTTTTCGGGTGGCCCTATTGTTAGGGGGGAGTCCCCAAGATTAAAGAGGGTCCAACATTAATATATTATGCGGTCCCATCCTCGAAGTCGAGAAACTTTTTACATTCGCAGGTTGGATAGGACTGGCCATATCAGCTATGTGTAGAGCAAGCTGTCACCCATTCAAGGTGATTGCGTACTTGCATCCCGTGAGGGCAAGCTCCCAAGCACAGCATTCTAAAGCTTCAACAAGTCAAGGACACACGCCTCCGCAGTGCCCGAACCGCACAAGGGTGGTTCTGCCTCTCTATGTGAGCAGCAAGAGCAGGCGTCTCGCCAAACCCCAAAAGTCACCTAGAAGAGCGAGTCCCTATCTCGAAATGACACATTGCTCTACATGCTGATTTTCAGCCCAGGGCTTTTGCGCAACTACCTGGGCTTGGGACATGGATGGCAGCGATCAAGGTCAATTCAGGCCCAGCTCTATTGGAGGACCACGGGGAAGGATAATGAGAAGACTCGAGGGGATGGTAATGCTGAGGTCCGACAACTCGTAATACGATTCACCCCGAATGCCATCATGTTCTTTCCTGAACCATAGTGCATCATGCTCACAGCAAGTGCTGCAATCACTGCAATCATTCAACGCTATTTGGCAAACAGCTTCCTGGCACGTGCGCTTGGCTTCTAGCCGCAGGGTCGCAGGTTCAACCATGGTGGCATCATTTCGTACAGCACATCTTGACTTACAGCATATGCTTCCCTGGAGCGGACACAACACCAAAGCTTGTGCACTTCAGGCAGAGATCTTTAGGGGTCCTTGTGTCAAAGGAGGAAGTGGGTGAATTGGCTAATTCAGTAGGAGTCTCTTCCTTTCATGTTTCATCCCCGGATCCTGATTGTTTACTTCCTCACCTCCCACAGAATAAATAGCACAACAACAAATATTGTCGGTTCCCCAGTCATCATGATTTGTGGTGATGACATTTAATCCTGTTCTAGCAGACTCCATCAGACCCCTGATTGCCTCTATAGCCACCGAAATGAGGGGAGCTTCTCACGTTGGCCATGTCACATTCCTCAAGGGCAGTCCCATTATCCCTGTGTTATCCAAATTAATCTCAGAATTTCTTGGGATCTCGAATTTTGGGAAGCCCGTAGGTATGCCTCTGCAAAGTTGCTTGCAGGACAGCCCCAGTGACGAGGGCGGGCGGCCGTGGCAAACCGTCACATACCAAGGCACGGGTTGGGTCCACCTGGATTTGGCGATTCTGTGAATGTAACAAGAGCAGGAGTGATTTGAGTGGGGCACTGTAGCAAGAATGGCAAAGTAGTTCTTATAATGTTGGCTAGTAGTACGCATATAGGAGCCACAGCAGCAGTTGCTAGCAGCGGCAGCACTTATCCACGTCCTCCTCTTCCTGTCGTAGTAGTCGCAGCAGTAGCAGAAGCAGTCAGTGTAGGAGGCAGAGGATCAAGAAGAGAAAGGCACGTAGAAGTCAAATTGGCTCGGTGGATGTTCTTTCTGCTGCGTGCCTTCCACATCGTGCTGAGGGTTTTGAGGGTGCGGAGCGTTTGCCTCCGCGGTTCGGCGTTGCTACGCTTTATCCTTGCAAGTTCCTCTTGTACAGTTCCGCTTGCTTAATTATGGCGGTGTCTGGCAGGGTCTGATTTCTGGAAGAGAACCTCTTGAATAGATTGTCAGATCAGACGAATGGATTTTTCTCCTTGTGTCTTGCCGAGTTAATGGGCAATAGAGCTGGGGAGCCCAGAACCAACGAATGATCTAGATTGATATGGTAGGTTAACCATGAGGTAGCTGAAAGAAGAGGGGCAAGGCCATAGGTACAGCTTGCACATGAGGTCAAGTGCATGGAGCACGCAGCTGTGCTACAGACATCGGTGAGCGTCCTGGCGATTGAAATTGTGACGGGCCGGCAGCACCAGATTCGAAGCCACTGCGCTCACGTTGGTCACCCACTCGTGAGAGATGGCCTTTTGGCTGCAGGATGCTAAGTGCGTGTTGGCCTGTTAGCACAAGAAAAGGTGCTCGTCTTGGATGTAGCGCTTCTACCAGCAAGCTGCCACCTGCCTGAGGGCCACTCTAACCGCCTGAGGAGTAATTCATGATGTTGGCTTTCAGCTAGTGTCGTTTATGCCCAAATGATTTAGGGTTGTCTGCATGAAACAATCTTAACACCCTCCTTCTCCTGTACAAGTCATGGGCACAGGAAATTCCAAGAGCTACAAGTCGCTGACCAAAACCATCCCAGGCAAATACTCCAGTCTTGCGACCTATGCAGCTGATCTGGCCATCTCCACGCACAATTGCTTGCATCGCTACTGTCTTGGTTTCTACGACTCTCGGATGTATTTGCAGTAGGTTGGAAGCAAATCACATGTGGCTGTAATGGACCTGCCCGGCGGACTGAGTCTTGTTTCACTGCTTTTCTCGATGATAGGCTGCTGAAGTTGCCAATGTTTCTAGATGAATTGCTTCGTGTCGCTCGCGCCACCGAGGATTTGGAAGGGAGTCGTCACAATGTCACGTCTCCGCTGAATACAGAGTTTGCGTCTGTTCTGGAGCAGCTCAGAAGAAAGGCTGCAAGCTCAGAGATAGGCATAGTGCAAGTCATGATGAAACATGCCAATGGACGACAGAATTGCCCTCTGGTGAGGACAATGCAGGGAGGCGCAGCGATTTGCAATGGCTGCGGGAGGAGTGGAGCAGTCTCTGATCCAATCAGGCCATGGCGTTGTTTTTGGTTTTGCACTGCATGCTTGTGGTGTCTGTTGCTATCTCGCGTTTTCCTACTGCGGGCACGCATGTTGTTTTGGCAACACCGCTTGTAAGTTTAGCATGGTCCCTCGCATTGCCGTGGCGTTTCTCAGCACTGGTGTAAAAGTCTTGGCTGTCGTATTACCTGAATCGTTTGCATGATTTCAGAAATACGCATCCCTGAACTAGATTCTAGATGGACCATGAGCATCAGGCAGAGGGATGTTCGTTCATAAGCTGGCATTCCATCTATTTGCGAAAGAACTGTTGACTTAGACACGAAGCTCTATCCATCTTTAAACTTGAGGGTGTAGGGTGTGTCTGCATGGCTCAAACAATTACAAGGCAGTTTTTAACGTGAAATACAAGAATGTTGTGCGTAATCTGTTGAAACAGCACGGCATTTCTGGCGAAGTGCGCTGGTCATTAGAACGATCATGGCAATTTGCCAATTACCGTAGTGCTCCAGTCGCCCAAGTCTCAAGAGGGAGCAGGGCACGTTTTGTCACAGCTAAACGGCTGCTGCCTGTTGACACTTCATCAGGCGAGGCGAACGCCGTGGGCCAGGCGCTCCAACAGAAAAAAAAGCGTGAAGCCAAGTGCCCGAGCATTTGCAGATTAAGATTCCAGCAGACAGGGCGGTGAATGTAAGATTGCCTACATTGTGGAGAACACCACCCCCTTCGAGAGCGCTTGCGAACCTTTGCTGGGAAGTGACTCTATCCTCGGAGCTGCAGATCGGAGGACATCTCCGCATTGCCTGTGATAGGCGCCTGCCAAAGAGCAGGCTTTGATTGGCAAAAGGACAAAAGACTAGAGACTGCACCCAAAAAATAGCTAGGATGCACAACGCAAAACCGGAATGATAAATGAGGCAACTGCAGACGCGAGATATCTAGACACTGCCGCTTTGCCAGCATGATGCATTCTTCGTGCCTTGGTGCGGTACTACTCTCTGGCGTGCTTGGGGCGCACCCGCCGCCAGATGATTGCTGCGATGGCCCTGCACGGCCTGCAAATTGGGCGACTATCGCCAACAACTCAGCTTTAGGAGCGTATTGTACCTTGGTTGCATTTCAGAATAAGAGTTGTGAGGAGCTTCTGCTTCTTTGCTATCATGGTGGAATTTCACAAGCACTATTCCATGCAGGGCACCGATACCTCTTCACGTTCTTATCACGCCAAGCATTGAGGCACGCAGCTGCTGTATAGCAAGGAGAACTCTTTCGGGTGTGCAGCTCTGGCTGCCTGCACCTACAACGGCGAAGACATTTGGCTGTCCTGCCCGGATGGTTTTGAAGCAGACTGTGAAGTGGGCTGCACAGCCCTGCCGCAAGCCTCAAGCTGCCCAGACTCTGGAGAAGATGTCATCGAATGGGTTACTCGCAGCTCAGCCTTACTTGTCCTGAAGGTCCCCCCTTTTTAGTTGCCTTATCATCCCGCGAAGTGCTTCTGCTCAGCTCGTACGTCCCCGCCAAACAAGATAAGGAGCAACAGGGGACTACTCTTTGAACACTTTGAACAACAATCATAGCAACTTTGGCTTGCCCCCCAGTTTTTGGCCAAAATGAGGCTTGCTTGGGATGCCCGATACAATCCGCCCGTTGTGCGCACAAATGGAGCTAAAGGCTGGCTGAAGCTGAAAACCAAGCGTGTCCAACGCGTAGGAAGATACCATGGTTCCTTAGGTCTAGGATTTTTTAAGTTCTGAAGCACATCAACATGGTAGTCCCTGCAGAATCCAGGCATAGACCAACAACAAGCCCAACACATGTGGCCTACACTCCAGGAGTCCTGAACCTTCGCGAAATCCTAAACTGTGTGTCGAATCATGTCTGTGGTTGGCACAGCGCGTTCACTGCTTGATACTGTTTGTCCCAAGAAGCCCCGTAGCCGACACAACGCGGGCTCTTGCTTCCTGGAAGCAGAGACATGAATGAATGTACACACATACATTTGTGCATGTACATATAAGCATGCAGGCAGATATACATGTTTCTACGTATATTAATATGTATTTACATACACTTACGTACGCCGCATGTCGCACATGGCCATATTATATATATATGTCAGAATAGGATATACAATGCTGTTTGTTCCTGCGAAGAAAATACTACAGCATGTTATTCACCTTGATGGCCGGTCCGCTGCAAGGGATAGACTATAAGCAGCTGCGGAGGCCTCAGGCCCATCAGCGCAGTAACGGCAAAGTGTCAAACTGTGGGATCCATGCTGCGCCACGTGGGAGAATATATGTAGATATAGGTACCTCGCACTTAGCCTGAAATTCCTTTCCTTGCAAATGAGCTATGCCTTCATGAACGATGTCTCCCACACAAGACACCCTACTGTAGACCCTACCCTGCGCCCAGAACCTGAAACTTTTGCCGTCATACACCTCAGGCAATGGTGGTTTCTTCAACCCCCACATCCAGATCGGCAGTGGGGACTTAGGCAGAGGCATCTTTGCCAAAGAGGACATCTTGCTGCACAATTTGATCTCCTGTCGAAACAAGATAGTGGGTACTCTTGGAGCCTAGCGGAATCCGGACTGTCATGCTTTCCATGGTTGCAGGGTGCGATGCAGAAGAATCTTAGGGTAGTTGAACCCTGCGTTCGCCGAACTTGAACCCCAGGCCCTAAATCCGCAGAACCCCAGGCTGCCCCCAAAGCCCGCCATCCCGGAGGATATCGGGCCTTCAGAGGTTTTGGTCTCCCTTCCCACAGAGGCACTCGGTCTAGATGCTTGGGGTTCCGCTTTATCGCTGCAGGAGGAAAAGGGGGTGGTTCTGATTTTTCGCGGCAACGGATGGTGTACATGATTAGAAGATCAGGTTGTGCTAGTATCGGTCTGGAGTTGACCCCACAGGTAGGTATCATGTGCAGCCCGCACCTATCGCATGCAATTCACGCAGCACCCATCTCCCAATCCTCTGATGATTCGCAAGCCGTTGCTCTTCAAGCCTTAACCTTAGACCCTGAACCCCAAACCCCAGCCGCTGAAGCCTCAACCCCAGACGCCGAGACTCCAACCCTGATGCCCTGAACCGTGAATCCCAGAACCCAGATATCACGAAAACTCCGGACCCTAACGCCTAAAAGACTAAAGCCTCAAGTTTTTGACAGCAGGTGATCATTTTAGATGGCCGCTCTCCTTGCCTCGCTCTGAAGCGCCTGCGCAACGAACTGCAGAAAGGCCTCTGGCTTCGAAGTTCAAATGTGGGGATGGGGCGTGAGTTTAGGATTTAGAGATTGGGGTTCTGCACGGGCAGGGTGCGGGATTGCGGTATGGATTGAGCTTCAGGTTTTCGGATCTGGCTTCTCGCTTGACGAAGCGCCGTATCGAAACTCATCGAGAAGGATCTATGGGGATCCAAAGGTTTCGGAACACAGATGAGCCTTGACCCGGAGAAATGCCAAAAAGCAACAAATGAGACTACGATAACCTACGACTGTGATAAGGGCTTTTCTCGTCATGCTCTTCTTCGGTCGGTGCCCATTAGAGGGGTCCTCCTTGTTGTGCGTGTTCCTGCTGCGTGTTAGCCACCACCAGCAGCAGCACTTCACGGCCTGTCAGCTGTGAAGCCAGGATTTGACATAGGCTTAGGGTGATTCGAGCTGGACAGGTCCATGCTCCTTCTACTGGCCATACTTGAAGACCTTGTACGGCCTGGAGATTGCTTTGCCGGCCGCCGCTGGACTATTGTTGAAGCAGTTCCTGCGTTTTCCAATGAGCTCTATGACTAGCAAAGATGTTGCATTCTTCAGCAAGCCATTAGGCTCTCATGCGCCTTTCACTTGCATTCTGGCACTGTGACCCTGATGGAAGCCAAGGTCTTCTCGCTAGAAGACCTGGCATTGCTGGATGGACTTCCAACGCCAAAAGGTGGCTGCTGAGCTCAAAGTGGCCTCAACAATCATTAAATTATGGAGGACGTTTGAGTCTGCCACAGTCCCATTTAGGCTAGTACCTTTGAGCAGCCCCTGCATGTTGAGAACTGCTGAAGTGGAAAAAGCGCTAGAACCAGTTGACAGCCTTTCCTATACAATACGACTCCCACAATGGTAGTCCTGCGAACAGCTCCGCCGCCACCACAATGACCAACATGACAGACATCCAAACATAGTGGTTTACAGTTAAGTTAAGTGGGTCATTAGTTTCATTTTATCATGGCAGGGCGCAGAGCACGCTTGCAAGGCTGTATTACTGGCTGCTGAGATCCAATTGCATGTTTTAGATTGGCATAATAATGCTGTATCGCTACCGGGAGACCATCCTTTTATGTAAGACTTAATTTTTCCTCAAAGATCCTCACTTAGTTACTGAAAATGGAACCCGCTCCATGACCACCCCAAAAAATACGGATGGTGTATCAAACTAAAAGTATATACAATTGCCTTTTGAGGCCAGTAATTATTCAGGTTAGATAATTCCTGCCGCGCGAAGGCTTGTGCTTGGGCATACTAAGACTTCTCTTCAAAGAGATGTTTCATGATCCAGATGACACAGGAGTCTGTTGTTTCGTGTGCCGACGACTTAGGCGCGGAGCGCCGTTTTGTGGACCTCAAAGTTGGGTGCAAGATTCGAACAACGGCTACTTAGGTTTAATTATTTTCTCCTCAAAAAGCCCGTGAGAATAAATCCGACACACCACGCAGACACCCTAGCCTTTCCATGCCATGAAAGTCATGTTGCTTCGAGTTCCGACTGTAAGCCGCCCTTGAGGCTGGCAAAGCTACACTCAGCAGTACTTCCGGGATTGTCTGGAGACTGCCACTTTGTCGCAGAGACTTTTTGCAGCTTAAAAAGGCTTCTTCCAAGCATCACAGAGGGGTTTTCTCATATCAAACTCATGGACTTTTTTCTACGGTTCATCGAGGCGGAATTGTACCATCTGGCACCATAGGGTTATCAAGTCCAATGGCAGGATGCCCCGTGCAAGCCACGAGTTCTAC